GAAAGAGAGAGGGAGCAAAGGGGAGAGGAAGAGAATTCAGTCATCATCGGAGGTCCTGCGAGAGATAACGTAAAATGCGACGCCGCTTTTCATCGTTATAAATAAAACGATTGGGAACGATTAATATATATTTAAAGCGAGCGAGCGAGCGGGCGAGCGCGGGCGTACGCGATACCAGCGGTGACGGGTGCGCGATACCGTCGCGCCGCGGTCCTTTTGGGCATCGACCCTGGAAAACAAATAACACGGGTCGTCGCGGAAAATGTATAAGTCGAAAAAGCGAGCGACCAACGCCGCTGCTACGCGCGCGCAGGTAGTTATAAATTTTATCGCGGGGAATGGTGGATGTATTTTTGCGATCAATTTTCCATCACCAATGACGTTCCTCCGTTTCCATCGAACGCGTCCGGCGTCTCCTCTCTTAGACGCACACACACACACATAGACATATATACACGCATGGACACGAACGAGCCGGTGAAATTTTTACACGTCCAACAACGCTCGAGTGACCGCTGAAAGATGCAAACGAAAGCAGTCGCATCGAAACGAGGCGGAATTGATTCGTATATAAATGACCTGGCTGTACCAAGTTCGATACATTTTTTACGCCGAAAGTCGAACCAGTTGTTTCTAATTCCGCGTTATCGCGCGATTGTCGTATCGCCGTTCCCGAATTAACCTATCAAAAGACGTGCGCGGACGGAACGGTTGTCGCTCGATGTTGAAAATTAAAGAAAAGCGCCGAATTATCCCAACGAATTATACGCGAATCCTCTCTCCACGCATGAAGCTCGACATTTTCGGAAGGTATCGCTCGCAAATGCGGTCGATTACGAGCCGACAGGATCAGGGCTCCGTTGATTCTCGTCGAAGCTTCGAGGACGCGTTCCCGGACCTGCCCATCGAGCACAGATCGAGAACCGATCGGGCCACCTAGGGAAGGAGGATCACGACGACAACGAGCTGGCGGGGGGGGGGGGGGTTGGGGCAGGAGGTGCAATATAGCGCCGCGATTGCCCAGTAAATATCGGGGTGAGGTTATAGCCGGCTCCGCGACCCGTAAACCAAGACATTAAATTTTATAATATTGCGTCCCGTCTCTCGCATCCCGTCCCTCTCTTCGACGTCCCCTTCGTTTCGTTCTCCCCTCACGCTCCACCCCCCTGGTCCCCAGCTTCTCTACGGCAGCCGCCCCCCTGGTCCTCCTCTTCTCGACCCATCCTTCTCTCGATGTTGCGTGAGCGCGCGCGCGAGCGCGAGAGCGCGCACAGCGTGCTTTTATTGGCTATTTACAGAGGAAATGGCCTCTAAATTAACTGCAGACTGCCGGATTGCTACCTATATCGAGCGGGCTCGTGTATAACGCCTCACCCGTTCGCCCGGTCGCGCCCGTTAAGATCAAAATCGCAATGACAGCGCAGCATCGGGCAACGATTAATCTCGCGTGCCGAAATCCGCGGTCGGCCACTTTCACACGGCGAATTCGGCCGCGTCGACTCCTTGACGACGGGCGAGGTCGATTTCCGAGTCCCGAAGGAGGTCAGATTGGCGGAACATCGAGGGATGATGCTCGTCCGATGTCAGTTTTCACACTTGGCGTTCGATCGCTCGCGCCGATCGAGCCCGACAGAGCTGCGAGGTGTTTTCACACGGCTGAACTAGTCGTGTACGCAACGGTAGCCTTGGAGATGAAGTGGCGCGCATAAAATCGCTGATCCGACAAAACAGCGCTCGTCCATTTATGTATTATACATTATGAAGTGACGCAGCTACACGAGCACTGAGTCCAAGTCGCGATGATTTCGAACACTTTTCGGCGGCAATAATGTGTTAATATTATCGAAAAGACCAACGGGGCTATTGATTTTATTATCGAAAAATAACACCCGAAAAAACGGCGTATTTACGCGGGCTAATTATCACCTCACTTTGATTCGTGAGTCAGCCCAAAATGCCAGTACCCTGGCAAACCGAGTGTAATCTTCCGTAATTCAACCCACGATGACCTAACTCCGTTAACATCCATCACCTTCCGCGCAAAATAACGTTAAAGTTTGACGAAGAAGAGACGACACACATGGAGGTTTCTTCTGCAGAAGTTGCCAGAGAGAGAGAGAGAGAGAGAGAGAGAGAGAGAGAGAGAGAGAGAGAGAGAGAGAGAGAGAGAGAGAGAAGGAGAAAGAGAAGGTGAGAGAGGGAAAGAAATAGACGCATCGAAACAACATTATTTTACGAACCAGTGGACACGAGTAAAAGTCTCAACGAATGTCAAGCGTAAACGACAATCTTGCTCCGTCCGCGTGATTATTTCGAACCCGAAAGCGTCCGTCATTTTCCGGGAAGATGTCGGCCGGTGCGAGATCTTCATCGAGACGTAGACGCTGATCGGTTCCGACTCGGGAGCTCCAAATAAATTTCACGTCTCAATTAATTTTTCGGCCACGTGTCGCCACGTGGCCGTCGTCCGCCCGGCTGCTCGTCCTCTCTCTTCTTCCTGCTCGCGCTCGTCCTACCGCCGCAGGCGCACAGAGGGGCGTAATTCACAAACGCAAATATATTAAGTGTTATCCGCGCGCCACGGACGCGACCCCTTCGTTGCAATGTCTGTTCTATTTAAACGGACGATACGCATCTTTCATATGTCTCGTACCTGTCGACGAGATCGTAAACGACAAAACGGCAGTATCGTCCCGGTGCGATATCTGACAAACGCATCGTTCCTTACGCATTTACTTTGTAGCGTAGTTTTTACGTTACCGTTGTCAGAGCTGGAGCTCTAACAACCCGAAACAGAGTCAGCGAGTGACGTTATAGTTGACTAATGGGATAATCAAATTAGCGGGCTTAATCGTGAAAACATGATAGCGGAGAATTTATAAACCGTGCAACAAGTACGGCATGTTGGAGAGATACGTCTGTTACACTAAACGTGTAAACTATCCATTATGATTAATTCGTGCGAATGTCGGTTTATTTTAATTATAGTTCTATCGATTCGCGCGCATCTCCTCTCAATTGTAACTTGAGGCAACGGTAGCTAACGATTGCGGCGATTAGAATCGCGAGTACGCGACGTGACAAGTGATTCATGTTTTCCGAGAAGAGCGTTGTCACGCACAAACTTGGGATTTTGTAAAGGTTTCAAATATATAAAAACTCGGGGAATCATGTAAACATACGTTGAACAGCGGTGCTACTTTGAAAATAAGAAAAGTGCAGGATCTCACCGCAGGACTAATCCAGTCGGATCAATTGCTATTTGCGCAAGATAACGTTATAACTTAACGTGACTTATTTCCTTCATTTGAACCAGCATTGATGAGTCGTGATTCAATCATTGTCGCGTCGCGTCGCGTCGCGTCGCGATTCGTCCCAGACTGGTAATCCTGACTGGTTACTTGATATTCGAGTCGAAGATCAAAAAATAACTCGAGCATCTTTTGCGCGAATTATATGGAACATGATTTTATTTTCCTCCGTAAACAAAATCCGCCAAGTTCGCTCGCGATCGTGGCGATGCGGAAACTGCTCCCGCTAATGGAAAGTCGAGGGCCACCGAACGCTCTGAAATCAAATAAGTTCTGACTTAGCCGCAAAAACCATCCACCGCATCAACACGATCACGAGGGACATATGTTTGAGAACGGCCGTGGTAATATATACATACTTCTACCTCAGACACATCCTCGCGTACAACATATTAACAGCTTAGCCGGTAAGCCTTTTATATTACATTTTTCCCTCTATGGGGTCACCTAATCCAATGGGGTAGCTCGCCTCCCTATAATACCAAGGGTGCACGTAGAGCGAATTCGACCTTGCCCAACGCTTGAACCTCGCACACGTCGAAACCGAACGACTACGACGACAACTACCGTGGATGGAAGGAACGATTTCCACAAAGAGAGAGAGAGAGAGAGAGAGAGAGAGAGAGAGAGAGAGAGAGAAACAGTTTTATTTCGCGAATACAGAAACGACTTCTCGTCAGGGCGAAATTAGCCGTATTACTTTCGCATGCGGGCCGAAGCCCGTATCGAATATTTTCGTCAGCTCGTCCGCGGTTTTTCACGCTAGAGAGGAGTGTGTTTACCATATCGCGCAGTTTCCCCAAATAGCACGAATGAAGTGACACCGCGAATAGCCACGATGGACATCTTGCGACGGACAGCCCTCGTGGCTCGAAAATCTCGTGCAAGTGAGACCTGAGACGCGCCAGCGCACGATCGCCAGTCTAATTTGCTCGCGGTCGCCGCGATGGATGCCTTCCTCCCTTCCTGCCCCTCTACGTGACGTTTCGCTGTTTCCCATGCGCGCGAGCCGCCCCGAGAACGCACCTCGGCGCGATCCGGCAAATCGTTCTGGCCCGATAACCGCTTCCTCTGACTTGACTTTGTGAGCATTTCACGCCCGCGGCTCCAATTAACTAGAATGACTGACCGCACGCGCCGTCGTAAATCTGTTGGCCTAGCCGAGCGCACCGAAAGTGCATTAACGGAACGGACAGAAGTTTAGCGTGCCGGCTTGTGTATTTGCCAGGGGCGCACCCTGCCCTGGGGTCGGCCCCATTGTTTGCCCCGAAACGCACGCAACACGGAATCATCCCTTGACGCGTGACTTACGTGCCCGTAAAGCCAAACACAGCGGGACGTATCGTACACACGCGCGGGCGCGGGCGCGGGCGCGGGCGCGGACGCGGGCGCGGACGCGCGAGAGGCCACGGAAATGTTTTATTTTGCCGATCGTGTGGATTTTCGCGGGGTAGCCTTCGAATTCTGTCGATGGAGCTCTCTCTTGGCAAAAATTCTTCGGATCGCTCGATTCCGGAGCCGCGCGATACCCATCGCATAGTCGCGTTGAATTCCGAATTTAACAAACGACGGCAGAGCGGCGGCACACGCGAAAGCGCGCAGATTGCGCGAAGGACGGGATCGATCGGTAAGAACTTGGAGACTTTCTCGCCTTTGGTCTCCATATTGAATAATAATTTTTTTTTCTTT